AATTCGTGTCCGCGCGGCGTCGGATGGCTTTCGCCAAGGGATCCTTCGATAAAAATTCCAGGAAAGCCAGCGTCGAGCGGCGGCGGGGCAATTTCATTCCTGACATGGCGGCATGTCGTACGTGTTCATTTGACCCGTTAAACCGGCCGTTGTGTCGGTAGACCGCGGAAAAATGAAATTATTTCCGTTTTCGCTGCCAATGTGAAATACGAGCGAGAACAATAGTGAGCGACAAACGAGAAATTTGTGACGGACACCTAACATTTCACTGAAAGTTGTTGAATTATTATAGAAATGGGCACGTGATATTGTATTAAAAAAAAGGATCGTTAACTCGTTCAGGGTTCCCACAAAACTGGAAAATTAAAAAACAGGGGAATTAGGGAAATGATTTCAAATTTTTAATGAAATTTTGGCTGGAAAAGTTATGAAATTTTATTGATGAGAAATTGTACTAACTCTGCTATTTATCTGGAAAGATATTTCAACGTTTGCAAGATTATTGCGTTTTTTTTCAAGCCTAGTTTTTAGAAGAAAACACGTTAAAAAAGAAGGGGACAAAAAATCCTTCTACAGTTTCCTACAACAATTTTCTACGGAAATGTTAGGCATTTACGGAGTTCAAAGACCGTGCGATGCTTAGAGCTTGCTTCTCTCTCTCTCTCTCTCTTTTCCTCTATCTCTTTTTTTTTCAATTACCATTTGATTCAATTCGCGCGTGCCTTCGAGCTTTGTTACTGCGCGAAATAAAGCGGGCAGTTTTCGTTTCGTCGAAAAATCGCGCCGATAAATTCCGGCGATTCGTTCTGGCGCGGCGCCGGGGTGAATAACGGCGCCGCCCCGGTTTTTCGCCTGCAAATATATCGCACGTATCCTCCATTTCCCCCCCGGACGCTGCATATACTAGGCTATTTTTTCAGCGGCCGGTTTCCAACGCTGGACCCCTTTAACGACTCATCCGACACTTTTAAGCCTAACAGGTGGCAGATTATTGAACTCTTTCGACGAAGAGAAAAATATGTCCGTCACCTGTATCCGCCTGTATTTCTTCTTTTTCTTCCTTTTTTACGCCCTACAATTCGCGTTTCAGAATTTTTTGTACGCTGCAGATATTTGGGCGCGAGTCGTGATAACAGCATATCTCGCATATATCGATAATTACCATCGCATTGATATACCTAATCGCGATAGAATCTTTCAACTTTTTTGCGAACACTGTCATTAATGTCATTACTCTTTAATGTTACTCTTATCTTACTGAAACGCATTGTTGAAGATTAAGGACGTAACAGCTTATATAACATGCAGCTCGTTAGAAAATGAAACTACTGACGAAACATGGATTTTTAAGGATTTTATTAAGACTAATTTTATAATTAACGATTGCCTTTTCTTTTAATATGTACTAATATTTTACGTTTATTCGATAACAAATTTTTACATAATATATTATATATGTCTTTAAGCATAATGACAAGACTTGTTGCATATTTTTTACGAAGCTGCGAAATATACACATTTCCATAAATATTTTTTTTACGTTATCACCCGCGTATATTTAATAATATTTAATCTGAAAATCGGCCGTTATATCCGCGTTTGTGTTGCATCGCCCATCCAAAATAGGCGATATGAAATTACGAGTGATCGCCGTTGCACTCGTTGCACTCGTATGTGAAGGCGTATGCATACGAGTATTTTCGAGCTTTATGCATACATACACATCCTACACGGAAATGGAAATGCCTGTGCGATGCCGTGCGACTGTTCCGCTTGCGAAATACTGAATTGAACGCGAACACACCGCCTCCCCCTCCCCCCCCCGATCTTCTCTTCGTACCCGACTGCGAAAAATCAATTTGTTTTGTAGCAATTCGATCCAACGTTTCTCTCTTACGAAATTCCGTTCTCTGTAGAAGATTTATATGGCGACACGAATTATGGCTTTGTCATAAAAATTGAGATCCGGTGCGTGACTATATCCGAGAATGCGTTCTCTGATAAATGACGTTAAGACGGCTATTACTGTCTGTCTTTAGAAAAGACTTATTAATGTATGTGTAATTATTCCTATATTTGACGAACTGAAACGAATAGGAAATTTGCGAATACATTATAAAGTTTTCATAGTTTAATAACTGCGTTAGTATAATCGAATTTTTCTAATTTAATCTATTCTATTTTTATTCAATTTAGAAACAGTTGGAAATTATAATTCTTTCATAAAAAGTACAGGTTGGCAAAAAAGTTTGGTTACAAAGTTTTGTGTTTATCAAATTATTATCAATCAAACTGATACTATTTGTTGTCATTTTGATGTCAAATATCGTCAAAGACATCATTTTGTTTGCTGAGTAGTAATATTTACAAAAAACAAACGTGGAATGTTAATTGTATCTTATGAAATATTAAAAATAATATTCAAAATGTTGTGTGCGTGTATGTGTGTGATCACCTTTAGCTTTGACCGAAGCTTCAAGACGCTTCGGGAACGCATCAATAATGTCCGTGCATTTTTTTATGGATAAATTCTTCCAAGATACTACAATAGAACGATCTCCAATTCACCAATAAAAATCTTTTAGTACAGTCTTTTTAGTAAGATTAATTAACCATTTCAAAGTTTGTTTTTTTAAATGTACGTTACTACAAAAGTTGATATTATTTGTCATTTTGTATTTTAATGTCAAAATGACGTCCTTAATGTAATTTTAAATAGGTAATGATTTGATAAACATTACACACAAAACTTTTGTCATTTTATGTATTTTTTTTATATTACAAAATATATTACAATTTCAATTTTTTTATTCTTGTAACTCTTTATGCAATATATATATATATATATATATATATTTTCGATATCGAAGTCGAAATAAATTCGATTAAAATTTAAGCTAAATAATGGTGATACAAAGAAAAACGTGGAATATTTATGATCGGATAAAATATTTTTTGTTTCTCATAACATTAATTGTAAATAAATGCGAGTGTGTCGCTCGAAGATAGTATCAAAGCAAGCACGTGAAACCGGTGAAAGTGTGTTGTTATCTATACTCTGCGTGTATCTACGAAACCTGCATTCATTTTCATTTTACGGCATTTTACCATCAAACTCGCATGCGCGCTAAGCAAATCCGCCTCTCAGGGTTTAATAAATGATGTCACGCGGGGAACACCAACAGGAATTAACTGAAACGAAATACGACGAAAAAGGATTAACGGCGGAACAAAACCTTAGTAATCCTGAATCCTCTAGCGCATTACCGGATTGGCCATAGAAATTTATTTTCACGTTTTCTCTGGCGCGCTTTCTTCCGTTCTCTTCCACGCGATGAAATTTTTAGTACTGTTTCAGAAAAATGTTGTGCGCTTTGCTACGTTCGTTGGCAGGCTGAATAATGTGATAAACAAGATTTTATTCATGAGATTAATACACGTACCTTTGTGCTTGTAGAACGTAACAGAGCGCAACGTTACATTTTTATTCATTAAAAACTAACATATTACAATTCCCTTATCTGTATATCTGTTTCTCTCAATAGTGAAAAAGAAGAAATTAAAATTATAATAAATTTCACTTAACGAGTGCACAGAAACATAATGTATCTCATTAATTTTATTTTAATTGTTGCTACATGTAATATGTTGAACTGTAATATTTTTACGATATTATGTATTCAGGATAAAAAATAGTTGTCTTACGTATACAAAAAGTATACTTTTCTTATATTGTCCTAAACTAAAATAGATTTATACTTTATCGTAAATTAATAACAAATATTGTAAAAATATTTGTTATTAATTTACGATAAAGTATAAACCTATTTTAGTTCTAACTTAAGAGGTCACATATCATATTCAAAATCAAATGAAAGTAAAACAATCAAGCTAGCGGCAATAGGAATTTAATTTTAGCACTGGTTAGTTACATGAGGAACATGTCCTTCACATTCTAGCACTCGATTAAATTGCGACATTTCCATGGAAACTTTTCGTTTCGCGAGTATATACGAGTTTCACTTCTCGTGCTCATTCGCGAGACACGAAGATGTCACCTGTACTAATGTACGTTCCTTGTCATGAAAACCAGCTTAACCGATATGCGGTAATCTGTTTGCCTAACACGAATCTAAACTACTTATTATTTATAATTATTATTTATACTGCTTATTATTTATTTTTTCAGTCTATATTACTTTGCAGTTATCTTTCTTAATCTTTCGTGGTTTCCATCCAACGTTTCTTTTTATATATGTTAATTCAACCAGGTCATTGATGTCGAATTATATGCTTCAAAGAATTTTTGGGTTTTAAAAATCTGAAAAAATTCTGGTACATTTTTTCATTTAATAATACAATTTTACAATGATATAACCCGAAACGATTTTCACTTTTTTGTACGTGTCCGAATTTGAGGCGGAATAATTTAAAATTGGAAATTTGCCAGCTGGATCTTCAAAGCCTTGGTTGGACCACGAAGGGTTAATTGTGAATCGATTGCATATTTGTTTTAGTAAAAAAATGTTACTGATACATAAACAGATACACTACATTCAAAAGATAAATCATGACACGTTGCACTAAAAAAAATTTACAAAGTTGTAATAAATATTTATTAAAACTTTATAAGTTTTTTTTAGTGTACGTTATACAATCACAAATATAAAAAATATAAATTAAATTAGAAAAGTTTAAAAAGTATATAAATTAAAGTATTGCCGTTTTAGAATACTATTCTTTTATAATTAGATATTAATCCGAAAGAGACTTCTCTCTTTTCTTTCCTATTATACAATTGTAGAACGATTTGTTGAAACCTACAGATTTGTTTGTAGAATGGAATGCTTTATTACATTTAACAATACACTGTTTCGACGTACTGTAGCTTTCGGGAAACGGTAGCTAATTATTCGCTTAGTTAAAGCCGAAGTTAGTTACAATTACGCGACAAACTCTGGCACGATTAATAATAACATCATATATCTGTATTGTTCCAGATTCGTGCTAGCCTCGTCCAGTTTGACTTTCGTCCCTTCGTTAGGTGAGTAACATCGTTAACATTGTTGGTAAAATCGGATTGTAAAGCATATTTCATAGTTTATAGAATAGATAGATACATTTACTTGTGTAATTGAGACTTCGGGACTTTTGTGGACATAGTTTAAGAACCTAGTCTTCTATCACAGAAAGATTTCAGAACTTGCCAAGAATTCGCAGTTATTTTAGGCTTCAGTGTGGGTTTCATTAAACGAGTAAATTTCTGTACGACAATCATTGAAACGATTTTAACAAAGAGAGCTTGACATGCGTCACGCAGAAAATAGAGAAAGGAGTCGTTAGGGAATGTTGTACAATCGCCGCTTCTTTTTACAGTAAGAAAATATGGTCCTTTAACAAAAATGTGAATGTACGTGATCATTGAAAAAAAGGATTCAAAGCGAGAGAAATATTTACGTCATATCTTGCATCAGATATAACGATAAATCTATTGGATAAGTTAATTGCTACAAATGTTTATAGGTCTGCGAGGTGTACTTTCATACTCACCTATAAAGATTTGATTTATTTTTTAGTGTGCTTTAAATATGTAACCTCCCGTCGCCACCGGCAACTGCGGTCTTTAAAGACACTCGATGTTTCGATTTTGTAAATTTTAATATAGATAAATTTAAATCCGTAAAAAATAAAGTACAGATAAGTCCGACTTCTACGATAAAAACTCGTTGTTTAAGTATCAAACTTTGACATGAGTTACATCAAAATTTTTTCAGATTTTTATATAATCCAAAATAAAAGTAAAACATTTGTTGTTCCTCGAAGATTATTGCTGACGGAAAGGAATTAAAATTTATGCGGAGAGTTAAAAATTTAATTAAGAATGAAAACAAGACGGTACAAATTAATAATTGTTCGGAATTTAGAACATCATATTTTTGAACTCATATTTTTGTGCTCTCAAATTTTTATTTATTAATATTTGCAAGTGGCACTAGTTTCATTTGGTTAGTTCTAAATTTTATTTTTAATTTCTATGTATATCGAACGATATGTCGGTATTAAATTAGATTCAGTTTGAAATCCACATTTAGAGCGGAAATATTGTCTGCATTGCGAATTGTATCAATATGTATTCAACTTCGTTATTTGACTTTGGGACGATATTGAGTATAACGAATACGCTCAAACGTGATTCTTTCGCATAGAAAAGCATGCAACACAGAAAGAATCGTTAACGACGCCGTGTGCCAAAGGGACTGTGTGATGGTAAAAAGCACGCGTGCAACTGCTCAAGCTTCGCGCGCGTATTGACGCGTGTGCATATACAGACAAAACTGCAAAGATGAAAGAGGGATAGCGCCGGGGAATGGGATAAGGCGAAAAATCGGACTATGGCGGCGCCGCGGCGGCAGGGTGACGGATGGAAAATGCACTCAGCTCTCACGATTTAACAGGCCACAGTGGTAACGTAGCACTTTTCATCCTGCGATCGATGCGTGGCCGCCGTCGCCGCCGCCTTGAAAGCGCGCGAAGGAGCGACGAGGAGGATCGGCTCGAAAGAGGAGTCGGCGAGGAGGTGAAACGCGGTGGAGAACGAAGAAAGGTGGGTGGATGGGATGGACGTGCACCATCTTGCACTCCATTCCGCGGCACTTCTGCGTCGCCGCCTTCGCGCCCATCTCTTGCTCGAAGCCTTTTCTTTCTTCGCTTTAACTCTCTTCGCTCGCTTTCTTTTTTTTTTTTTCGCACACACTCGTCTCTTTCCGCCCTCACTCATGGCGTTCTTGGCGCCGAGCTCTCGAGGATGAATCCCGAAGTGCCGGAAGATCCAGAACTCGGAATGTTGCGACTGCGAGCTTACACGCATCGCTAGTTATGGGGAGAGAAACGAGATTCACCCCGTCTTTTGTAAAGAGAAGTAGTTCGTACCGCCATTTCACGAAATTCCGACGTCTCGTTTTGCTTACTTCGCTACGCGGAACCACCACGTACGATTCCAACGAGCCGCGCGACTGCCTTCGCATTCCTTTGCGGCCGAGTTAACGGAAAAATAAAATTGTTCCTTTACTCCGTGAACGATATTCGCGTTCAACGCTTTCGTCCTTCTCTAACAATGATTCTCTAATAATGTGGAGATACTGTAAGCCGATGATAAGTGGTACATGTGCGAAAAGATAGATTATGTGCACAGGGTTACCGCAAAACTAGAAATCAGAGAGATCAGGGAAATGTGTCACGTGGGAAAAAAAGGTTTCCTGTCGCAGCTAATCTTGGTTTGTTAAAATATATTTGCTGCCGTAACTATAAATTTATAAACGAGAGAAATTGTTGTTGCTGTTATATACAATATTAGCTGTGATACCTATATTTTAGATGTTTATATTTTACATTTACGATTTAGTTATCACACACAGTTTTAAAAAGAAAATTAAAAAACCTTAGAAAATTAAAATATTTTTAAAGAAATTTAATGCACGTGCATCACACCTACGCAGTTTTGGAATACCTCCAACTTAACAATTAATTGCAAGCAGTGTCAGTAACAATAATTTACATTAATGTATTAAATTTCTTTTAACTAAATATTTGGACGGTTTTTAAATTTGGACGAAAATAAAAAAAAAATTTCAAATATTATTATTGTAAGCATCAGGGAAAATCATAACATTTTGTGTGAAAATTAGGGAAAAGTTGTGAAATTTTGGGATGAGAATTTGTGACAATTTTCTTTCAGAAATGTGTCTTTTTATTTATCGTCTCTCAAAAGTTTGGTAAAAGAAAACTGACCTTAGGCATAGTTAGTTTCAGTGATCCTCTTACTCTTAGACTCGTTTTGGTCGTTGACACGAAGAGTGGCTCTCTCCCGTGAAATGTTTCTTCGTAATTACGAAGAATTGCTCGAAGCTATATTATTCTCTTTAAATAGAATAATTTCCTACTTAATTTAAGTGCTTTGGTCTGCGTGCGGTGTACAATCATTAACATAAGAGGCAATTCTAAAAGACAGTTTTATATCCTATTCTACTAATAATTGATTATAGCAATTAAATTATATACATGGAATTTTGTATACTGTTAATATGATTGCGTTTTACTTTTTTGAAATGATTCGATAGACACGTAGTAGTGAGAATCCATTCCGTGTATTAATTTATACACACTTCGTTAAAGCTTTCACAGGTTTGTGTATATGTGTGTGTGTGTGTATGTGTGTGTGGACAGCAATAACATAAAGTAAAATATTATATTTCTGCTCAATTGAATATACGTTATCGAATAGTATTACTTGCAAACTTTGTGCACTCCCCTGGGCAGTGTAAAGCGACGAGTAGTTTAAGTGACGAGTATGCGTGGCAACAAACCGTAACGGCTTTATGGGAATAGTAGCTGAATAGTAGCTCCCTCAGAGTCATCGATCTGTTCTCAATGCATGAAATTAAGACATCCGTGACGTTATAGACGTGACTTTACGTACGTTACACTATCTGAGCATTGTTATAGTTAGTCGGAGGATCTGCAATGCAGACCTCGTATCTCACGAGTCAAATATATTACGATCCATTTCCACGAATAATAAGAAAGAGCTTCAGTTATAGTTTCTTATTCTTCTCACGTAAAATTTTTATTTGCGTGCGAAAAACTATTATTTTTATTTATTTATTTTTTTTTTTGCATAACTGAAGATACATATAGATTAACATGAAGTTAAGAGATTACTTTGTTAGTACTTTTCTTAGATAGTTCCAAATAGCTTTCTTTACATAGTATTTGAATTTTCTAAAATTAACATTGCACTAAATTTTGAAAATATTTTTATCAATTACATTATTCATTATTTTTAATTTATTTATATTTATGACATTACGAAGAATATCTTATTGAATGTGTGTGTAAAAATCCATAAATGATCCAGAAGTCGTGGAAGTAAAAATCATTCTCTTTAAATAACACGTCGGAAAAATATATACTTGTAAAGTTGGTCGTTTCAGTAGCCAATCGATATTTCTAGGTAGAAGAAAACGTAGTTTTCTCATTGAAACTTTCTCAAGAAACAAGAAGGAATTGTCGAGAAGCGAATGGGAATAACGTGTCTGATCCCATTGAATTTTCTTTCATTGTTCACAGCTAGATGATTCGTGCGTGCCAGTCGACAATATTGATGCTAATTATTATTCTCATCGAATAACGTGAGATTTTCTCGTTATATCGAATTTATTGAACCGCGCCAGAATAATATATTCCGCATTAATAAGATGTTTTGTCATCGCGTTCTAATGTGTTCCAAATTTAGGCTATTAGTTATAATACTTTTATTTTGGAAATTATATCACGCACCAACAATCGTGTCATACAACAAGCAATTTGCGTTAATTGCTACGTTAAAACGTGACGAAAAATATAAAACTTGCTACACGAAACACTAATTAGAAGTAATTTTCATTGAAGGTTGTTATGATCGAAGTGTGTCAGCATTAAAACGATAAATATATATTTCTTTTAAGAATACGGTAATGTTATAAAAATATACTTTATCGTACAAATTGCTTGCTAAAGTTCTGCATTTATGATATATGCAAAAACATGTACGTCGTTATATTAAATGGATGAAAATGCTCTCTAAATCTCTTAGAGCGAAAATTGAATCGGTCTTTTGAAAAAGAGTGAGAATATTTTCACCCTTGAAAAAGAGTGGCAGATTTGTAAGAGTTCACTCTTTTGGAATAAGTTTCCTTTTAAGAAACGAAATCTTATATTCCAAAAAAAGGAGTGAGATTTCATTTATTTGGAGAGTGAATCTCACTCCAAAAAAACGAAAATTTCCCAGGATAAAAATATTTTTGCTCTATTTCAGAGATTGGTTCAATTTTCAGTCTTTTTAAGTGAGATTTCACTCTAAAAGATTTAGAGAGTAGGAAAATAGATTTTAAGACTTGCGCAAAGTAAAGGAAAGGAACAATGAAACCAATGTACGTCACGATCGTTATATTACCCTCTTTATCATCGTTTCTCCGGCATGTACTTAGTATGATTTCATTGGTATGC